AGAGGACACCACGCATCTGCCTGCGGTCAACCTGTATGCCGCTGAGAGACAGAATGAGTTTTTACATTGCTCATCACATTCATATGATCAGATAACAAATGCGGGGGCAAGCACTATCGAGGAAGAGTTCGTTTTTGAGGCTGCGATCAGAAAACTTCCCGCTCGACCGCTCTCCCTGGTTTAGCGCCGAAGGATCCTGTTGTGAAAACACCCTCGACATCTTCCGGCTGCTCGCTTGAAAAACATCGATTTCCCACCGCGACGAGGAGAGCGAGAGAGCAAGAAAACAGGGTTTTGCGGTAATGATTGCCTTTATGGTGATTCTTTCAAATTAGGAAAGTTTCATCGATGTTGATCCGAGAAACTACATTTCGGATTCCAGGGACCAGAATTGTTTTGAGACAGGACAGCGCAAAATTCCGGAGAAGATTCCCCCGCGGTTATCCATGGCTTCCAACGGAGAATCCTGCACCCCATGGTTCTTTCTCAATATTTTTTCCAACCCATTTTCTGTCAATATTGACGTCTTCAGTTCTCCACGCGAGCGCTCCAGAAGCGAGACTTCCGTCGTTTCCGCTCACGGGATGAGCGGAGTAATTATCCGTAGAGAGCTGCTTCCCGAGGGAGACTTCGCCTAGCGTTCCTTCAGCCGACATTCACGTGATACAATTTGTTCTGATATTCTGCCGCACTCGAATCGCGGTGATAACATTGTCGAAATATGCGCGCCTTCATTCGGAAACGAGACAGTTTCTGCGTCGACTACGCCCCAGTAGCGAATGGAAGAGGAAAAGCCCACTTATTGTTCCATTCCATATTATTTTTCGACGGCCTGCAGCATCCAGTCAAGCTCCCAGGTATCCACTATATGTAGATGGATCGGACGAAGGTATCGGGATGTGGGAGCGGAACCGCGACAGACTCGAGAAGCTGATATGGATATTCTTGGTGAGCCATCTACTGGCAACCATCGAGAGGAAACATTCTGGACCCTGCGGGAAGTTATTGCTCAAAATCGGTGGATCCCTCTCGGTTCGTAAATGGCGATAATCTGAGGAACCAGCCCCGCTGCAATGATCCTTGAGGTTGGATTCGGCCTCGAGAAGTGAATTTCCAGAACTGCGTCAAGCTCAAACGGGCTTGCGGCTCTATTGAGTCCGTTTCAGCAGCTTTCGGCCGACGTCGAGCAAGTTCATCGAATTCGGAGCGAGATCTCTGGAGTTCCCGCCATTCGGCAATCCTCATACGAAGCTGGAGTCCATCTTGAGTCACGTCGGTATCATTTGGTCAAGGCCCTGAGAGATGGAATTACGATGCTGGAAAAAGAAGGGTCGGCGCTCATGGGAAGGCTTACGAAATGTCCTTCCGATTGATTGCGAAGAGACTTGTATGCTGTCCAGCGACTGGCTCGTTTCACGGCCGCTGCTTGACTTTTCTATCTACTCAGTCGGTGGCGGGCGAGTGGACCTACTGCGTCCTTGAAGGAGCGGAAACTATTCGAAGCTCTGGAGCAGAATGGAACTGTAGGACTCTCTATTTTAAACGCTCAATCCGAGACCTGAGTATCTACTCGTTTCGAGAAGAGCTACCGCGGTTCGGATCGAACGTCCGAGCTGAGAACACATGAGCGGGGAGAGTTAGGTTAGATGACTTCGAGGAGCTTAAGGCCTGGAAGTTTGATCGGCCGAACATATCTCATTTTATATACGATCTCTCTTATCTCATCATTTCCTGCATCAATTCGTCAAGGATACTATGATATCATGACTGGAGAGTGATCGAATATCAAAGGGAAGCTCTATGTCAGATCTTCCGTATTTCCCAAAGATCGTCTTCCAAACAGTTGTTAAGAATAGGCTCGTATAATAATAGCTCTCTCGAAGAACCCGGGGCGGTCGCAGCTCCGGGGCTTCTGATGAATTCGATCGTAGCGGAAACCAGATCCATCCGATCACAACACCTGAACCTCGTCCGCATGGAAAGCAGCATTGTGACGTTCGATTCTCTGAAACGAGCGCAGAGCGCTGGCAGGAAGAGAGCGGCTTGAACGAAACAAGCGAGCTCGGTTAACCGCGAACGATGCACTTTTTCGATCAAGCGTATCTACAATACTCCAGCGAGTTTCCTCAGCCCTTGTAGCCGCGATTCATGTTGCTTGGCAAATTGTAATTTCACCTGAACACGGAGAGCTGCGCGGTTCTCCTTCCCGACACTAATGGTGCTCCCGAACCGGGAGTACACACAGTTCCGGGATGCCCAATTCCTTCATTCTTTGAGATCTTGGATTTGGATCTTAAAGAGACTCATCGTGAAATTGCCCGTTTGCCCCTCTGGTCCACGGGGGAGAAGTCGCTGCGAGGAGAAGTTCGACCGTGGATCCGGGTTTGATAGATCGGATGCGTGCACATCCGAGAGACCATGCGGCGAAATTCCGTTCGGTTGAGCGATGGAGGTGGAAAGCAGGAGTTGGAAGAGTACCCTCCAGATGTCACGCTTCTGCCCTACAATCGGCGTATCATCCAGATTCGAAAAATTCCGAATCTATTTCTGAGACTCGAACAACACATGGTGACCTTCGGACGAGCTTTGCTCCGAATAGGGGGAACTAGAACCTTTTGTCGCTAAATCTCTAGCGTTCCCCTATCCCTTACCACTCATCATCGAGACGTACGCTCTTCGCGCAGCATCGCTGTCTGTGTGGAGAGATGCAGAACGAGCAACGGGTAGTTCGGGTCCATATTCCGTATCCTGATCCACCGAAATCAGGGAGAAGACACCATTACGTGGCGTTGTGGATCCGAAGGATTCCAAGATTCCATCCCGAGTCGTGGGCGGAAATGATTCGGTAGGGAACTGGGAACGTATGGCCGTGGAACTAGCGGGCGTCGGCCTAGAATCACGGTATTTCGACCCCGAAGCGATCGGTAGAGGATTCAATCAAGGTATTTCACCCCCGAAGCGATCGGCAGAGGATTCAATCACGGTATTTCAGCCCGAACTCTACCCAATTCCCCAGTACGTTCAAATTTTCACAGTCACAGACAGCCGAAGAATCGACCCGGTCCCACGGCTCAGGTGTTTGCGAAATATCTATCCTGGGAATTGGAAGAATTGGGCGAAATGGGACAACGATCCCGAATACCGCGGCGTTTTTACTCTCCGACGAGCTCTAGGTGATGCGGGAAAGACGCCCTGTGGACACGGGACTCCCGCAGCTGACAGGCTCGCGCCTTCCGCGGGAGACTTCTCAGGAAAGACAATGCCTCACCTGTGAGTTCGCAGTACCTGACGATCGTTCACAGAATCGGGGTAGTACTTTCTACGAGTGTCTCAGTTCCATTATATGTCGGTCCCATTGTTAAGAGGCGCGGGTTTCTCAGGAAGCCTCGACGACCGGTACTCTCGGGATTTCTGGAAATTCTAGAATAGACGTTCCGCGCGCTTCCTCAGCGAGCTGCATCAGAGGCTTTTAAATTCAGCGGGTCTGAATCGATACATCTCGCAGAGGCATACGCAGAGACGGCATGAGTGAATTCTACCTTCAGCGAAGTGCAGAGGGATCTCGACCAGCTTTTCCGAGTCATTTTAGGGCTCAGGGTCAGCGTTTCCGATGGAAAACCTGATTTCAGATGTGTCTAATTCGTGTCTTGGATTTCCTTCTATCCTGACTCTTAATAGAAGCTTCTGCTCACGACTCGCAAAGGATTACGGAGAGTCGGGAGCGATCCAGCACGAAAACCAGGTGCACCTTAAGCGATCATTCTATTATCTGGAATGGCTCGGAAATCCGACGGTTTCACAGAATTTCGAATGAGTTTCCAACCAGAGCCGATGAACTCTTACTTGAGCCGCCATGGATCCCGTCTCTGCACAGCCGTCAGAACCCCGAACACGTTTTCTGAACAATACTCCCTCTCATACAGAGGGCAGAGCAATGGCAGATCCTGATCGATCGAGAGTAGGCGAAACTCAGTCTCGCGCGAATTGAATCCTCAAATCACGAAGAACCATATCCAGTAGACCCTGGCTGCAACGGAGCCCTGGACAATGAACTTCTTAGAGAACGATTTTCCCATTTTCGACTGGCTGCCCGCGGACTCGATGGTTCGAAAAGCTCGTCACGATGGAGCTCGAGGGACCGACATCCCATGAGGGATTTATTCGGTTTAGGGGACCATTTCGTGAGCGGGAGTGTGTTTGACGTAAATGAGTAATGCTGTATATACGAAGGGCTCCAACGGATGTTCCGTTGGTGAATTTATTTCTCCAATTCATTGTTCCTAGGTTCATTCACTTCCATCAAAACTCAGTCCTGGGCACTCTTCCATGGTAGGGATTCCTGTGTCCGATGATTCTTCTCGGATGATTTGTGTTCACAATCGGCTCATCGAATCAGCGACTCCAGGACCTCTCGAGTCGGCTTCATACTTCCAAGCGGGCACTAAACTCCATCCGCACGTTCTCTGAATCGACCGAGCCCTCATGATCCGCCTTTCGAGATGACTTGAAAAGCTCTCGTGAGTACGGTAGGCTCTGCGTTCGATGACTCTCAGATGATTTCATTTTCTTTGTGTGGCTTTCCAAACACATTTTCTGATTCAGTGGCGTACTTCCAACGCCACGCCGTTTCATGACTAGATCAGAACTCGTTGACTAAAATCCAGTGGCATGCATGCCTGCCAGCTGTGGCGAAACATTGTATGAATCGGCCGTGCCAATACAATGTTCCAACTTTGGCTTCCGATCTTGGTGGATTCAAGGTAGCGCGGGGCGGACGGCCCGGCGGGCGAGCTGACCCTAGCGAAACCGAGGATTTAGCGATGGATCGATCGATCAATCAGTCAATCGATCATTCACTCATCCCTTCGGTCAGTCGTCCGACCCGTTAATCCATCGATCGATTAATCGAGGACAAGGACCTCTGCGCTGTCTCCGCCATCGGTTCGCGCTTTCCTGATCTCGCTTCCGAGGTGAGAGCTTCGGAATGCGTGGGGTCGCAGAACTCGTTCTTGAGTTTTGTCGACAAGTTGAGAACTTTCGTTCATGTTCATCCTTCGTGAGAAACTGCCAAGATGCTTCTTAGGTGGCGACGAGCGACGACGACTCGCGGCGCACTTTCTGGTATGACAATCCCACGAGAGCAGATTTGACAATACTGGTGGCGCACTTCATTGGAGGAGTGATCTGCAAGTTGAAAAAAGGATCTTGTTAATCATCGAGATCTTTGCTCAAGTTCTACGCTTCTGCTTCTGGGGGGAAAAGCGGGGGCAAAGAAAAGGGAGAAAAAAGTGAAGGGGGCAATCGGCGAAAATGCTCTAGAACACAGTCGTCTGAGCAAAGAGAATCGGACCAAGGATCAGGGATGCCGGCGCAAACGGGGCACGGGGGGTAGTGGAAGTTTTTGATGCGGATTTTGACACTTACGTGGCCCAAACTGCTGCTGCGAGATTTGAAAGCTGCTTTCGTTGTGTTATTGACGGGTGGAATGTTTTCATTGCAGAAAGCGTACAGATGCGATGACGAGTCTTTGAAATCCTCGCTGCGACCTCGTACGTCGTGGATGATTTTCTGCTCCACGAACTTCTGCATGAGCAGAACGACTTTCTGTCTCGTGACCTCCTGGCCGTTAGGCAGAAGATTGCGATTGTTCTTCAGGAAGTCGAGAGTCCACGAGACCGCTTCGCTTCCTGGGAAGCAGTTCTCGAATAGCTTGAGACCTCTTCGATGACGGCCAAGCGGCATGTTCTGTTTGACAGCTGATACGATCGTATTCCAGATCTTTGTTGCGCGGAAGTGCTCCGAGCGGTTAGAGCTGAAGTTGCCGTTGTGATCCATATCCTCAACACCGACTACAACAACGATAATCCTATTGGCACTTAATCCTAGAGAGTGTTCACTGAAGCTTGTTCTGTCCGACATTGGCGACTCTTTGCTGCCAGAGCGCAGCACGACGTCTCTTTTAAGAGCGCCTTCTCGCCTGGGCGAGGGAAGCGTGTTCGCGCTAACGCTCTCGCGATGACCGCGGTTCGGTTTGTTGTAAAGTCCTGAGGAAATTCATGGAGCGATGCGCTCTGATGAGTTACCGCTGAGAATGTCGGAGGCTCAATCCGCAGAATCGGTTCCTGAAGCCCTTGCCCGAGCCCGGCAGGGCTATGTTGATCGACACTCAATTCGAGCGCACCGATATGGAAAGTCCGTCTTCAGAGCTATCGACATGCTCAAGAGAAGACGGATCGAGTTCCCTTGGGGGCCTCGCACGCCGATCCCAAAGTCCGCTTCGTCGAACCCTTAACCAGCCCGAGGTATAGAAGTTTCCTTCGGCTCATGGACCGAGGGATAAGAGAAATCTCTCGGAATAGAGGCAGTCATAGAATTTATCACTGTGTCGTCTCCGATGCGATGAAGTGAAAACTGACAAGAGAGTGACTCTTTGACACGCCCCGACTTCTCGACGTGCCGTCTGAGAACGCTCTCATGTGGGTTTTTAGGTCATTAGGTCGCCGATATGCAAAACAAATCCTTTCATCGCAGTACGTAGTCATCGTGAGGACCCTGGTCATAAGGACCGCGCTCTTCTGGCGGGAGTCTCGCGAGCGACCCGACATTGATGATTCTGAGCAGCCCTGAGACCGAGCTCGAGCCCCAGGATCTCGTTAACTCGGTCTCAGGACTGGAAGACTCGCTGGACGCGATTCTGTCTGACGGAGCCAGCCTTCAGTAGAGGAGCATATGGGTGCCGCTATCAGCTGCGATTCCTGAGACCGCTCCGTGACTAGTCCATTCTTCCACAGGTGGGCCGCATGATCCTTAAACGGCGCGAATCTCGGTGTACCACGATGGTTTGAGGTGCGCCTCACCCCGCACCTTGAGGATTCAAGATCTCTTGGCCGACTCGACCGAGCTCGTTAGCCCGACAGAGGATTGGGTGAGTAATCCGTTGACGGTAGTCGGAAGTTCTAGTTGTAAAATCTGGGAATGACAACACTACGTAGCAGGAAGCTAATGAGTGGGCTTTCGTAGAATGATGCGCTACCATCATCGAATCACCTTCCATGCGTTCGAGGAATTCGACGAGACGTTGACGCTTGGTGATTTTCGTTCATTCGGAAAACGCGCGAAGTTTACCTTAGCGTGTATCTGCTTCCGAGGCGATGCTCACGCATCGATATCGATGGAGAACCGTCCTTAGTTTTACAGTGCCGGTAGTCGTGTCGCCGTAGGCGTCTGCACAAAAATATATTGTGGTTGGATTAAGGAGTTGCGACTGTGGTGTCGTTTATGGGCGTTTCTGGGTCAGACCTCCGCTACGAGAGCTTTAAAGCAGGCTGAAGAGACGCCAAGGATCCTCGCAGCTCGGCGTCAAACCTCGTCGAAAGAGCTCTTTTAGTTATGACTCGTCCTAGGCATCTGATTCCGAACGACCTTTGAGGACGGAGATGGAGGGCTTTTGTTGTTTCGAAAAATTAAGGATGCGTTTCCGGTCCAGATTCCTCCCGCGAATCTCGGGAGCGACGATGCCACGGTCTTTGAACTGAACGTAACGGCGCCCCACGCCAGTCGTAGCGCTTTTTTCCGGAATCCAATTCAGAGGCGCCTCGGCAGTCGTCTATCGGATGTCCCCAGGTTTCCGGAGGCGTCCCCACCATTAGATTGACATACATATATTTCACAGTTCTCGGGCCGTCACTCGGCATCGCGCACGTGACTGCAAGCGCTGACTCGACTACGAGTGTGCGTCCGGGATCGATTGCCAGTATTCAGGACACTGTAAAAATGTCGATGACAAACACAGACAGCGACATCAGCCGTGGCACACTTCAGCCGACGAGGTCGATTGCATAAGGTCTTCAAACGAGTGAAGTATGATGAGACGAATGAGGCGAGTTCTATGGGTCGCTTCACTCGAAAGCGTCTTGCTCGGAACTGACCGAAGCGCTCTTTTCTCTGAAGGCAATGGGGGCCGTTTGCAGCGAATGAATGAGTGAACTACATGATGACAGCGACGAGCGAACAGCCCACAGCAAATCATTCACAGACGTTCCGGGAATAGGTTTTCAGAGAATTGCATAGAGTCTCTCTTCTGGGACCGCGGTTGTGGAGGATGCTCACAGCGACTAAGACGCTCCTCTAAATCAGAGTCCATATCCAAACTTGGAACCTGGAGAAGGGACCGGGTGTAGCTCGTTGGGAATAAGACGAGCAACATTAAGAATATGCGAAGCTTCGAGCTCCTGAATTTCTTCGGGGGCTGCGGTCTTCTAGGAGTGCATTCAATGAGGCTTGATCACGAGAGCTTGACCGGGCGGTTCCAACCGGGGGGGGGGACGGTTCAAGTGGAGAAGGACCTCCTCGATTAGCGGAGAGTGAAGAACTGCCCTCGGAGATCCGGGGCGAACAATACGTAGTTCGCATCCTGATATACCACGGAGGAACGAGACTCGCAGGCTCCCGTGGCAGAACGAGCAGAGATTTCAAGAATGCAACGGAAACGCATCGGCATTTTCCATAACAAACACGCTCTGGACTCAAGAGAACGTGATCAAGTCACATGAGATTCTGTTTGGGTGCGTCTCAGCGAATCCTTGCGATTCCGGTATTATGCTGTTATGCGGGCGCTGTAGACTGTGGACGATATCTGAGAACAGCTGAGAATGCGCATCCGTCCCTCCCCGCGGCAGAAGGAAGGAACGATGATTTCTTTGCAAATCGAAGAGCCTGTCGGACTTTTCCATGCTGGGACAATTTTTTTCGAGACTGCCTCCTGTCATGTGCGTGGAAACGATGCTCCGACAGTCGGACACAGCGGACTCCTTGAGATATGAACGGTGGAAGTTTATGATTGATAAGTCGTCTTGTCGAAATTCGTTGTTCTATCTTTGTCGAGTATCTTTACGAGCAGATATTGCGGACTGTGATCTCAGTGCATCCCAAGAAAGACAGGATAATCTTTGCTCGGGAATTCGCATTCCGGGATTACTCAATTCCGAGAGAAAACATCTGGGAATGCAGCCGATGATAGCCGCAGGTGCGGCGGGTGACTTGTCAGCTCGATGACTCAAACTTGAGCAGTTGAGAGAAAAAACAACCGAAGTTGCCCTGGCGATCGAGTATATCAATTCGACCCCACGGCGGGCTATCCCGCCCGTTTCCGGATTTTTTCCTGAAAAATCGCAGATCACCGACTGGGATTCCGATGAAAGAAGTCCAAATAATCGAGAGCTTCCGATCCATGAATCGTAGCTGGTCCTGTCGCGCTCATTCGCAGTCATCGATCGTCACTTGGTCAGTGATGTCCAAAACAGAAGCTATCCCACCGTTGACGCTGTAGTTCTATCGTGATCGCCGCCGTGGTCTCCCGTGCGGTACTGCAACGCGAACAGGCATCAGCTTTCGCGATGCATCGCTCTCCGCAGAAGCAGCGTAGGCAATGTGATCGATGGAAAATTTACAGAGCTCGATTCCAAGCAGCTTTGTCACGAAATCCTCGGAGCGTCAGCATTCTGTCGCCGAAATCCTCGATATCCTTGGGCTTGGGAGGCCGAGAGACAGGACGGCTTTCCCTGAACGCTTTTCCCGTTCGGAAAATTCGGGCCAGAATTCAATGAATCGATCTAGAGAGAATGAACTCGAAGCGAGCATCACCCAGCGTTCTTGGATCCGCGAAAGCCTCGTGAATTTGAACATTACTCGTCAATGGTCTTCCGCGCTTCGGTGTAGTTCCGCACAGAGGGTTCTCGAAACTGGTCAACGAGCTTATATCTCTGCGGTTATTCTCGAAATTCGAAGACACACGAATCAAGGTGGCATAACCATTTGCCAGTTGACTCAACGCACGTTTCCGTGAGAACACCGCCAGAGAGTTTTGCGGTCTGATGTGCTGATTGTCATTCATCGCTCCAGGCTCCAGTTCTTGAAAGTTTGCGATCCCGCGGTTGATTCGGAAGGGCACAATCAGCTTTCCAATGAACACAGCAGCATGAACATTGATCGGAAGGGAGGCAACTCGCTCTTTCTGGACTTTGCTCCTCCAGCGGAATAATATCCTCCCCGATAATTGAATGCGTGAGAGCTTGATCGAGCATCCAGATACGTTCTGGAAGTTACCCGCTCGCGGGTGCCCTGACCCGATGCCGATGAATGGTTGTCGTCAGATGGCGTACCGATTCGTGACAGCTTGCATGTAGACAATGCCCGCTTGGGTTTCTCTGCCGGTTTACGATATAAGCATTTGAGACATGTCACATGACTATTCGAAACCCCTGGATAGATGAAGCAAGCGTCTCGGAAGAGTGTTTCTGAGCCAAGCAAGGAATGACCCCGATTATCTGCGTATTTCGACGCCCTTCGTCGAGAGGGACAGCCCCTGTCGTGGCCCCCGAATCCCGGTATTCGCTCCGGATAGGATGAAGACTTTCATCCTCCCGTGAGCAAAAGATGATGATTGTATTCAACACCGGGATTCCATCAGCGAATTCCGCGGCCGGCGGCCCGATCCCTGATGCCAAACCTGAACTCTGGTTTCCAGAGCTGCATCCGCAGAGGGCATACCGCTTTAGTGGTATTCGGGATTTTTGAGATCTGCGGCCGACTCACTTCACGGCCCCAACGACCACTCGAGTCGTACCCCGATACTGGTCCTCTATCGGCACTCGATGCGAGGCAGCGGATCCCAATGGACGTGTTTCGGCTCGAGTATTTTGAATTTACCGAGCGTCTTATTTTTTTCGGCAGCGTGATCCGTCTTGGGTCCGAGACGGTGCAAGGTTCTGTAGCTCCCACGGTGAGTTCTGATGAGAATGGAAACGTCGCTTCCGATCCTCTGGAACTAACGGCTG